ACGTTACAGCTATCATATTTCGAATTGCGCTATCTTCATTGCGTATATTTACTAATTTTTTCGTTTTCTTTCTTTTCAATTTTTACATATGAAAAAAACGGCTTTGCTGAAGTATCCAAAAATTTAACTTAGATATAGATCTGAAGATAATTTTGTTTGATACCAAAATAATGATAAGCGGTCAAACTAGTTGCTAAAATATTAAAACATTTTTGCAACATTATCATTAATGCTGAAACGATCTATATAATTATTTTATCCAACAAAATTAATTTCAGATTTGTGTAGCCAAATTTTTAAATAATTTAGCAAAACCGTTCCTTCCGAGCATTATTAATCTTATATCTCGTACTTCATAAACATGTTAGAATCTTAATAATATCAATTTGCATCACACAAATAGATCTAATTAATTTCCTTCATGAAATAGACATAAAGATATGAACATGGAATAAACAATAAATAAATAAAATATACATGAAGATATCATCTCAAATAAAGAATAGGAATCGCCTTACTCAGTTGCGGTTGAAAACCACTTATCAAGTTGCAGTTGAGAAAATCTATACGAGTTATACCCCCATTTTTAGAATTAACATATTTTAAAAATTGTGCTGAATTGTATTATGTGTATGCTACATTGCCCGAATATTAAAACTATAATATGAAAAATACGTTTAAAAATTAAAAAAAAGAAACGATTTTTAAGTCAACCCCCAGTTTGCATTTTTTCCTATTTTTTAAATTATGTTGTGCTAAAGTATTACTTTTAAATAATGATAATAACAGAAGTTATATGATAAAAAATAATTTTAAAAAATTCTGATTACAATTGATATTTATGTTCGCCATATGTCAATTATTTAAATAGCATAAAAAAAATTGTGTACCTAACAATTGTTTTAACTTAGCACAAGTGAGCACAATCTTTGACAAAATCCTTGATGATATTCAGAGGACAGAAAGGCACTCTTGCGTGCAGCCCTTCGCGCTCAGCTTTCTGTCCATAAATAGAATTTATAATGCTTCGATGTGAATAATACTGTATATGTGACTTGAAAGGCTTGATTGGCTAGTTAAATTTCATATAAAATAGCATAGTTTTTCGCGGATGTAGATAAAGTTTCTTGATATTCGTACCATTCTTGCGTAGACCTCGTACAGGATTTTTCAAACGATGGATATCTCGTTGGCAACAAGTAACATGCTCTTCTACTTTACCCCGCGGGATTGTCTTCCCTTTTAGCGGCACAAACTTTTTGCGGGATTGTCACTGAGATGCAAGGTACCGCACGTCTCAGCCTAGTTTGGACACGCTAACCTTGCTGCATACGAATTTCTCTTATTTCATTTATTGTCCTTTCCAAGATCGTCTTTTCTTTCATTTCATGTTTTTTTTTATCTTGTGTTCCTTCTTTTGACAAGTAATTCCGTACTAATGAATCATTATTGCTTGTTTTCTATCAACTACTTCGTTATTTCAGAGTGATTTATATCAGACAAAATATTACTTTTATGTATAAATTTCACTGGATGTGTCTACATCAGGATATCGCTTTATTACGTTTAATTGATACCAATTAAATATTCATAGCACAATCATCAAATCCGGTTCGGATACATATGTAATTTTATTAACTTTTCGATAATATTCTACTCATGGGCAGTACCTCGAAAATATTTATATAAAATAAATTCATTAATCGGTTACCGTCTCAGAATCCACGAAATGCTTTGAGATTCCAATTGCTAAAGATTCATCAGTAATTGCACGTGCAGATTCGTTTGCATATTTTAATTAATTAATGTATTGAGCGAACACAATTTGAATTGAAAACTCATTCTCGTGCATTCCACAAAAATTCGCAGTCAAGCACGATGGCATTAAACTGTAACTGTTTTTAATGTGCATAGCCAGAAATTATTTTTGTCTCGATTTTTAAATGCCGAATAATGATAAGCATAATATTCACACGTTGAAAATAAATACATTTAATTTGTGGATACAATGTGTTACAATTTGCGGTTGTACATTTGCAGTGGTTTTTTTCTGAAATTTTTTTTGAAATTCTTGTATAATATAAACTTGAAAAACATTTAGATAAATATCTCTCGCTCTCTTTATTTTATTTAAATATTTATCATGTTTAGTATTATACAATCCTTTTCCAAAAAGCAGGGTAGTAACTAGTTAAAACATTAAAAATTAAAAAAAAAAGTTAATAATAACTTTTAACTTAACTTAGTTAATAATAACTTTTAACTTAATTTAGTTAATTTTGAACGCATTAATCTTTAACTTAATTTAGTTACTTTTAAACTTTAATTTATTAATTTTTTTTAAATTAAAAATTTTTCTACAACTCTCTTAATGCTAATATTTGTTTCTATAAAGTTTTAAACATTAAACACCAATTTTTATTGACTCGCTAGGTTTTGTCAAATCCCACTTATATTTGAATCACACTAATTTTAGGTATCATAAACATTATATTTCAGCAACATAAATATGAAATGAGCCTTAGATAAAGAATTATTATAGAACAGTACTGCACATCCAACCATTTTCTAAATTTTTACGTATATTTTACGTATATTTTTTGTAACAAACATCTAGTCGATATAATTGTAAACATGAGCAATCGTTTCAGAAGTTAAAGAAAGGTAGATAAAGGTTAAAAAGAGAGAAATAATGCAAACATTTACTCTTCTCCTTTGCAAGTTTTTACAAAAACGCCTTATGATGTTACTTTATTATATATAAGTAATTTACATGTGAATATAAAATTAAATTTACTTATAATCTAAATATATAATAATCTATATTTGTAAGTGTTATTTAAAGTAATTTCATTAAAAAAAAAATTAAGACATTCTGATCTCTGAAAATCATTTTTTTTTAAATTAACTTCTTTTAAACTTAAGTTAATTCAATCTTAACTTAACTTTTATTAAATTAATTTTTTATTC